ACACACAAAGCCTATCCATGCAGGACAATACATTGACAAGTTCGATATGCGGTAAGGGCGGTCACCAACCAAAGCCAGAATAACACGCCATGAAGGCAGTCACTGCCCAGTGCCAGTCCGGTATGCCATAACAGCGGTTACTGACCAAAGCCAGTCCGACACGTCATGTAGGCGGTCACTACCCAGGGCCTGACACGTCATGTAGGCGGTCACTACCCAGGGCCTGACACGTCATGTGGGCGGTCAATACCCAGGACCAGTCTGACACATCATGTAGGCGGTCACTATCCAGGGCCGGTCTGACACGCCATACAGGCGGTCACTACCCAGGGCGTCTGACACGCCATGAAGGCGGTCGCTGACCAGAGCCAGATTGACACGTCATGAAGGCGGCCAATACCCAGGACCAGTCTGACACATCATGTAGGCGGTCAATACCCAGGACCAGTCTGACACGTCATGTAGGCGGTCACTAACCAGAGCCAGTCTGACACGCCATACAGGCGGTCAATACCCAGGACCAGTGTGACATGTCATGTAGACGGTCACTAACCAGAGCCAGTCTGGCACGCCACACCGGCAGTCAATACCCAGGACCAGTCTGACATGTCATGTAGGCAGTCACTGACCAGAGCCAGATTGACCACTGGCCACTGACCAGACCATAAAGGTGACCAGAGCTAGTCTGACCAGACTGACCAGAGCTAGTCTGACCAGACTGACCAGAGCTAGTCTGAAACGTCACAAAGGTGAACAGGCAGTGTGCTGAGCACATGCACATTAAATTTGGTCCCAGTTAAACAAATAAAGACCGTGCGAAAACCTTGAAGACTGGCAGGCATTTTGCTTCATCTGTGAATTTTACCTCTGTGGTAGGATGGGTATTATTGCCCGCGCTACAGATCACGGTACATGAAGGTTCGTGGGTGTTGCATACGCATGCCAGTTTTCAGCAATTTGGGGTAGTGGTTTAACCGTACGAGAACGAAAACCGCGACGTTCCATTTGTAGTTATGTTCTTGGTTCACAGGTGACAGCACCGGTGCCCCGGCGCCTGAGCGTGGGCGTGCGGGATTCAGACAGTCTTCCATGTGTAAGATCATAGCCCCTCCCCCGAAAGAACAGGGGGAGGGGGGCAGGGCAGCCATGACCCCCCATTTTTTAGTGTGTGGGGCGGTCAGCAATGTTAACTGGCCTTCCCACTTTTCAGATTAAGGCTGCATTTGACTTAATTTTGCACCACACTTAGCATTCATGCCGATATACCTACTTCACCGTTTGCTCATTGGCCATCGCTTAGTATTACAGCCGGAAGGCCAACGCCGCACGACCTGGAGACTGCAACGCCGGGCGTCGAGGCTGTTGTTGCCGTGACTTGCGAGCACGCATGTTCAAGACCATATTGCGTAATTTTCTTATCAGCAATCAGTTCTGACAGAATTTTGTGCATTTTAAGACGAACATGGGTCAGCAATGTTAATGAAAATTAAGAACCCGATTTCATTTACAATCTGCGGTTAGGGAGAACTCAATATCTCTGAAGAACACAGAAAAACACGGAACTGGAGTCTATGTGACAATTATTGGACTAACTGCGGTGGTCAGAGATGTTGTTACGTCAGTGAGGGTTCCTGTGCTGATCCGGGGCTAGCTGCGCGGGTCAGAAGGTTTCCCGTATCAGGGATGGGAACAATGTGACATGATATATCCTTCTAATGGCCTCCGGACCGACTAGGAGATCCCGCCCCGTGTCACCAGAATAATAGCCAGAAGACACTTTGCGATGGGACGGAATGGCCACTCAGCCTTTGACCGGAAACGGTCAAGGGATAAAGGTGTTCCCCTGGTGTCCTACTCAAGAGGCCCCTTGCCCGGAAGGGGTCTCATTATTATTGAGTAGATTGGGGGTCTCATTGTTGAAAAGGGTGGGTCGAAATAAGCTTAGAAACCGAGCAGGGTCATGCCATGTCTGCCTGAGAACGTTCATTTTTTTAGAATGTATAATTGAAATAAAATAATGTGGTACGGCCGCCCAAGGTCCGTGGGCCTTGGTTACTGAGGATTTATAATTGTTATGAGGAAATTAACGAATTTTACGCTAGACCATCCGTGCCCCGCGGTGTTCGACGCCGACCGACGATACCGAAAGAGCACCGGTGGGCGCCTGCAGCGGCGGCGGCGGGGCTCCGTTGGCCGTTGGTCATAAAAGAAACACGGTTAATGTTGCAGTCATCGTTTTTACTTACACCTATTGGTTTGCCAAAATAAACCACCTCCTCCGCTCCAACTTTTAGCAAAAACTCCTTCGTTCACGCAATCACATCATTGAGGACCACGCTTTCCATTAAGTGCCGACCACCACCTCCCGTTATGCAACATGGACTGAGGAGCCTGTTTCGCCGACCAAGCGCCCCACTGTTAGAGAGCCCGACCAAGTGGCGAGACCAGGCGCCAGGAGCAGGACGATCCTGACGTGCAGGAGAGCTCTGCTCATTCCGCCGACCCTCCGTGTCCGCTGTGTTCGACGCCGGCCGACGACACCGAAGGAGCGCCGGTGAGCGCCGCCGCTGGCGGCGGCGGCGGCGGCGGGGCCTCGTTGGCCGGGTCTTGAGAGGCATAGCCGGCTTCGACGAGGACCCGGAGCGCTGCGGACCCAGGCGATGGCCCACCGGCCTATGGCACGGAACGGGACGCGTCTCTTGCACCCGCCCAGCCGGTCTATGCGTCGTGCGCGTGCCGGGACGCCGGGATATAGCATGAGACACAGGGACACATGCGTGTGAGGAAACGATAATGATAAGTAATGTCATGCAGCGTCAGTCGGACACCTCGTTTGGTGTCGGACGAGCACGTTGGTGACAGATGACAGATCACACCATCGTGTTGATTATGGTACCCAAATATGTTTGGATGCACTTTATGGCTTTGAACCCACTCAAATGTGTCTTATGTTTTACTTGAAACATAAACGATGTCCGTCTTTTGGTTTTAGCTCGGATCTTTGCACCGCGTTTCTACACACGCAAGACATTGAACTCAAAATTTCGCGCACATATTTGCACATCGCATTTCCAACTCTGTACACGCCGCGTGGTGCGATCGGCAGAAACCAAACCAACGCTCCCAAAGGCAACATGGCCTCCAATCAGATGAAGGTGAGCGATCAACAAATCAGGTGGCCGCTAGACTTTGCCACCATTCCCCACCGAGGGCGTTCATGGGATGTCATAAAGGGCAGAACTCGAACTATCCCCCCAAAGACCCAGCCTGGCATGCCTCAGGCGCACGAAATATCGCGCGTGATCAAACATATTATCTGATGTTCTTGCTCGCCCATTTTTCAATACCTGGAACGTCTGTTCACAGGCAATAACAGGCATATGTAAATTGAAAAAGGCCGTGTCCTCTTTCACTTGAAAATGACAGCTTGCTAGATACCCAAGGCTGTGGCGGATCTGATATTTCTGACCCAAGAACTGTTCGAACTTTCGTCCTCATCTGGCGAGTTAGTATACACACAATCATGCATATACTTGGCGTGTACATACCAATACACCAGACGCGAACGAGTCTCAGCAATTGCTCCATCCTTGATATATACACACACACACACATATATGTATATATATATATATATATATATATATATATATATATATATATATATATGAACACGTATATATGTATATATACATACATATATCTCTATATCTCGGAGGTCAAACAAGGCAAATTGATGTCTTTGTTTAGAACTTCCAGTCGAGACCGACTTACAAAACGCATCTACTCGACGGGAACATTTCCTGACTGCGGTCAGCACGATCCCGCACCACGGATAGACCGGCTTTTGGTGAAATATTTATTATAACCATTCAACATTAATTAATCATCAGCCCACAGATCCTAGCGGGGGTTAGAACGCAACACAAATGGCCGGTCGGCCCGCCCCACCGCCGTCCGGCAGGCGGAACGGGCGGCGCCCCGCCGGCCGCTCCACACAGACACCAACCGCAGGCCGTCGGGCCGCACCGAACCCAACGTCCCCCCCCCCCCCCCTCAACAGCAACCAGAAACGAGACGGAACGGGGAACGCAGAACAACCAATCGCGAGACTGTAGAGCGACCGCATCACACGGGCGAAATATCAAATCTTCACCATACAAATTTGCACTCACCATGATGGTAAAATAGGCACGCTTTGTCTGGTACTGTCCATTTACTTACAGGACCCGTGTCGATTTGTTCCTGCACCGGTGCCCGGCGGCTGGCTCGCCCCAGCACGCCGGCGACGCCTCCTAGAGCCGAAAAGCTTCGCCCACTTCGACCGCGATCGCCCCAGCACGCCACCGTTTCGCGACGTCGTTCAGCGCCGCACCTCCGTCGGAGAGGCCCAAACGCCCTACACACACACACACACACACGCACCAGAAAACCCCACCCCGCGATTGTCCCGGCTGCAGTTTGTCACCGTAGTTGAGACCATGAAGTGTCGCCCACACCGAAACGAACAGGACACGGAGCTGGCGCCCGACGCCGCGCCCCGCCCTGCTCCCAGTGAGCAGTTGGGAGCGGCGTCGTGCCGACTTGTGAACACCGTGATCGCGTTGTCTTTATGCCGACCGCAGCAAACTGTTACGAGCGCCCCAATCGGCAAGGACGTGTGCGAAGGATTACAGCATAGCAGGTACTCGCGCCGATTAATTTGTATGGTCCGCACGCCTGACACACGCCAGCGCCAACACAAAAGCGACCCGAACAACAACCGCAAGTACTCTAAAAGCAGCAAAATCAAACTGAAGGGACCCTCTATCCAACTAGGTACAGTATGGCAGTGATTTACTCGGTGTTACGCAGCGATACAACACGAAAGAAACCGTGTACTGTACACGCCCGCTCTGCACACGCCGCCAGCCAACCACAAACAAGAATAGCGCTGTCTGGTAACTAACTACCGGCGCGTACCGCCGCGGACGCTGTCACCTACACGCCGGTGTCCGCACTCAACCCGCCTGTCGTCGCTGCTGCAGGCTCTGCCTCGCGCTCGCCACCTGCCACGGGGGCGTTAGAAGGCGACTTAGCCGCTGGGTCGACTGCGGCAACGCCCTCCGTCTTAGCGGCAGCATCCAGGGCCTGTGGTTTCGACACTACCGGCGCCTCCCGCACATTGGCTTTGACGACAGCTGGGTCCTCCTGGACTTCGGGTTTTGAACGACCGCTGGCGGCACTTCTGGGGTTTCGTGTTTATCAACGGCTGGCGCTGCCGGGGCATCGGGTTTGACGATCGCTGGCGCCACCTGGGCCTCGGGTTTGACTATTGCTGTCGCTTCTTGAGCCTCAGGTTTGACAACCGCTGCCGCCGCCGGGGCGTCGGGTTTGACGACCGCTGGCGCCACCGAAGTCTCGGGTTTGACGACCGCTGGCACCGCCGGGGATTCGGATTTGACGACCGCTGGCGCCACCGAAGTCTCAGGTTTGACGACCGCTGGCGCCGCCGGGGCTCCGGGTTTGACTATCGCTGGCGCCGCCGAAGTCTCGGGTTTGACGACCGCTGGCCCCGTCGGGGCCTCGGATTTGACGACCGCTGGCGCCACCGGGGCCTCGGGTTTGAACATCGCTGACGCCATCGAAGTCTCGGGTTTGACGACCGCTGGCGCCGCCGGGGCCTCGGATTTGACGACCGCTGGCGCCACCGGGGCCTCGGATTTGACGACTGCTGACGCCGCCGGGGTCTCGTGTTTGACGACCGCTGGCGCCGCCGGGCCCTCGGGTTTGACGACCGTTGGCGCTCGCGAGACCTCGAGCGGCTTGACCGCATCAGCCACCTCCGCCCCCTCAGAAGCGGTCGGCGCTTTGAGCGCACCGCCGGCCTTAGCGACGTCCGGGGCGGGGATACGGGGCGGCTCATTAGTAGCTGACGGCGTTACCGAGCTCGGTGGTTTGACGGCGTTCGATACGCCATCGGCCTTCGGCCGTTTGACATCGGGGGCTGCTGCGTCACGTGCCACTTTCTCGTCGCCGTATGACGCGGCGGCGGCGGCCGACGACGCGGCCGCCGACGGCGCCGGCTCGCTCTTGCCCGTCTCGGCGGCCGGCCTGGCGTCGACCGGCGTCTGGCCGCGGTGCGGCTCGTCCGGCCGCGCGTCCGAGTCGTCCCGCTCGCGGCCCTTGTAGCGCTCCACCACCAGGTCGTCGCTGATCGTGCGCAGCTTGTCGGCGTTGGCGACCAGCTCGGCGGCTGCCTCCGCCGACCTGAGCCGCACGAAAGCCATGCCACGGCGGCCCTTCCAGGCGATGGTGGGCTCGATGGCGCCGGCCGCCTGCAGCGCGTCGCGCAGCTCGCGCACGCGCGTGCTGGCCGGCAGGCGGCCGACGAACACGGTGAGATCGGCCTCCTCGGCGGTGACGGCGCGCGGCCCGGGCCGGCGGCGGCCGGCGCTGTGCGAACGTTCGGGTCGGGGCGCCGGCGGCGCCGCCCGGTGTCGCTCGTAGCGCTCTAGCAGCACCGGCTCGTTCACCAACCGGAACTGGTCGCCCACGGCCAGCAGCTGATCGACGGCGTCGGCGGCGCGCAGGCGCAGCAGCGCCACGCCCTGGCGGCCCTTCCACGACAGAATGGTGGCCGGCGAGTCGGCCGCCACGATAGCCTCGCGAAGGTCGCGCGGCCGCGCGTCCGACGGGATGCGCCGCACCAGCACCGTCAGACCGTCGGCGTGGTCGATCGGCGGCCGGTCCCGGCGCGCACGCGGCCGCCGGCCCGGCTCCTCGTCAGCCGACTGGCGGCTGGAGTCAGCGCCGTCGTGCGGCGCGGCGCGCGGCACCGGCCGGCGCCGGCGGCGCGGCTCGCGGCGCGCCTCCTCCTCCGGCTCCCTCCTGTGCGTCGCTGTTTGTTCCGTCGTTGGTGGCGCGCCGGCGGCGGCGGCCGGCCAGCGGGCGCCGCCGCCGCCGCTTCTCGCCGCCCTCGTCGTCCGCGTCGCTGTAGGGCAGGCCGGCGTCGCCGGCTCCCTGCTCCTCGCGGCGCCGGCGCGGCCCGCCCGGCTCGCCGCCAGAGCGAGGCCGGCCCGCGTCTGCGGGGCCGCCGCCTCCACCAGCTAGTCCTCGGTCGTCTCGACCAGGGTCACGTCCTTCCCCGCACTTGCAACCCAAAAGAGACCGTCCGCGTTACGAACCGCTCACCAATAAGGACCACAACGCGGTTGCACTACAACGCTGTCACCATACACCCATGATGATCACGCCGGGACCACCGGGGATGCCGATCAGGGACCGGCGCCGCCACCAGTCCGGTCCAGCACCCGCCCCCAAGACCGACGGCTAGACCGAGACCAGACAGGACAGGTGATGGTGAAACAGCACGCCGCTTCTTCACCCACGACACCGTCGAACCCTTCGGTGACTGCATGCGGGGCCCGTCCCGGTGGCTCAGTTAGTTAGAGCACCTGCCTTCCGATCTACCCACCCGCGGCGGAGTGGCTTCGGGTCGCTTTAGACGCTCGCTATCCGTCTCTTTGAGAGGTGTGGATCGCGGCCGGTGGCAGCGGGCGCGCTGAAGGTCAGTTGACGTCACAGGGCGGGGCGGACCGTGCCGAACACTGCGGCACACTCAACTTCCGCAACCAAATTCTGCCGTTGCCTGGCATTACACGATCGGATGGTAGGATTAGGGCTCATGCAACAGACAATGCTTAGCATGAGCTCTAATCTCAGAAATCTATCCATTCAAATACGTCAGGATAAACCTAAACAAATACGTCATACTGCCCTCGGCTGCCTTGTGCCCACCTACCCTCCCCCCCATTACCCCCCCCCCCCCCCCCATCCCCCACGCCGCGGAGTGTGCCATCAGGCCACACACGCGTGGCCGCCGCACCCGAAGCGGTACTCCACGCCCTGTTCAACCTCCCGCAGCGCCTTAAGTATGGGGATGGCCTTGAGCTTGCGCCGGCCGTCACCAGCGTTCCAGATGATGCCAGGACGATCTTGGCGTGTCCGCTGGCTGACCGTGGATGACCTGCGTCGGTGGGTCACGATCATGTCCACCGTGCAGGTCGCTTGCGCGCCGAACAGCTCCGGAGGCAGGTAGTCGAACACCTGCGGCGGAGGGACAGCCGGGTCACTGGCCGGTCACGCCCGCGCGCACAGCGGCAGTCGCCCCCGTCGAGAGATGCGGTAGGCGCGCCGAGCCGGCCCGCTCTGCCTCGTGTGTTGTGCGACAGACGGCGGTACCCGGTCCGTGCCAGACACGACAAACGGGTACCTCGTGTGTGGTATAACCGGCGGACGTACCTTGTGTGCAGCACAAGTTACAGGCAGACGTACCTTGTGTGCGGCACAACAGGCGGACATACCTTGGGTGCGATACAACAGGCGTAAGTGCCTTGTGTGCGGTACAACAGGCGGACGTACCTTGTGTGCGGTACAACAAGCGGGCGCACCTTGTGTGCGGTACAACAGGCGGACGTACCTTGTGTGCAACACAACAAGCGTACGTGCCTTGCGTGCGGTATAACAGGCGGACGTCACAACAGGCGTAGGTACCTTGTGTGCGGTACAACAGTGGCGGACGTACCTTGTGTGCGGTACAACGGGCGGACGTACCTTGTGTGCGGCACAACAGGCGTAGGTACCTTGTGTGCGGTACAATAGGCGTACGTACCTTGTGTGCGGTACAACAGGCGGACGTACCTTGTGTGCGGTACAACAGGCGGACGTACCTTGTGTGCAGTACAACAGGCGGACGCACCTGGTCGTCGTGGACGGTGGTGATGACGAGCGTCTCTTCCGACACGGCGCCGGCGCCGCGCGCCATGGCGTACTCCAGGTCAGCGTAGCCCTCGCCCTTGCCGATCCGGTACCCTGCGGGCGCGAGGTCAGAGGTCAAAGGCGGGGTCAGAGGCCAGGCGGCCGATCAAGACGTGGGCGGTGGGCGCGGCTTGCAGCGGGGACGAGGACGTGACAGGTCACACAAACGGCAGGTGGCGCAGGTTGTTCTTCCCCCGCGGCGACAGCTGGTCCGTATCATGCGATATTGTGGTCTCAATGTAAACAGATCGAAATCCTGTGTTGACCGCTGCCCACTGTCCAAGGTACGGACCAGGTTCTGGGGAAGGGAGAAGGGAGCGAGGGAGAGAGGGAGGAAGGGAGAAAGAGAGAAAAGGGAAGAGGGAGAGGGGTGGGAAGAGAGGGAGGTCGTCGAGCGATTCATAGCGTTCCTGCTGACTTTCAAGTCCCAAATTGGGTCCAAGTCAGAGACGACACGGCTACACCAGCGGCCAACAGGACGGGTCACCGTTAACGGGTCGAGCTCGATCATTTTCTCTCGAGCGAACGTTACCGACAACAACAGAACATTGACACCAAAGCAGGCCACCGCGGGCGGCGAGTCCGATGGCTGCCACCGCTACAGGCGCTGTATGCGCCCCCGCTCTCTCTCTCTCCTCTCTCTCTCTCTCCTCTCTCCTCTCTCTCCTCTCTCCTTCTCTCTCTCCTCTCTCTCCTCCCATCTCCTCTCTCTCATCTCTCTCTCTCTCTCTCTCTCTCTCTCTCTCTCTCCCTTCCCTCCCTCCCTCCCTCCCTCCCTCCCTCCCTCCCTCCCTCCCTCCCTCCCTCCCTCCCTCCCTCCCTCCCCTCCCTCCCTCCCTCCCTCTCGCCTCTCTCGCCTCTCGCTCTCTCTCTCTCTCCTCTCTCCTCTCTCTCTCTCTCTCTCTCTCTCTCCTCTCTCCTCTCCTCTCTCTCCTCCCTCCCTCCCTCCATCCCTCCCTCCCTCCCTCCCTCCCCCCGCCCCCCCTCCCTCCTCCCTCTCGCTCTCTCGCTCTCTCGCTCTCTCGCTCTCTCGCTCTCTCGCTCCCTCTCCCCCGCTCCCTCTCTCTCGCTCTCGCTCGCTCTCTCACCGTCTTTGGAGACGGCCACCGAGCCGACCACGATCAGATCGACGGGCACAATGTTGTCGAGCCCGATGGGCGTGCTGAACTTGCGCACGCCCTCGGCGCGCGCCACGCGGTGCAGGTTCCTCCTTAGCCGGGCTGGGCGGCAAAGCAGCGGTTGAACAGGCCGTGCCGCAGCCGCGGCGTTGGCACCAGCACCGTCTTCTCCACTGCCGCGTGGCGGCGCCGGCGGCAGCCGCGTCAGTGTCACCGAGTGTCAACAGTCTCCGACATCGTGAGGTTCGCCAGTCGATGTTGTCGTCAACATTCGTCAACATAACATCAACCATCAGGATGCCATCAGTCTGAGCGTTATCAGTGTGATTCTGCGTCGCCGGCCGAGCAGTTCATTTTATCAGCGTCACGCACCTTGAGGACTGTCAGTCATTATCGTCATTAATGTCGCCAGCCGTGGCAGCCATCAGTTATCAGGGTCGTCAGCAATAGGCCTACGCCACTGCTCCTCGGAGGCAGTAGTCATAACGAATCTAGGTGTCAGCGGCCATCAATCAACAGGTCCCCATCGCTCCACTTAGCACGGCACGTTCCGTCCTCATGGGACCTCACACAAGCCTGCCAAAAATCAGGTGCGCACACGGCTACGCAGAGGCCACCTCTCACCTCCATGGCCAGGAAGCGGACGTCTCCTGCGGCTTGTCCGGGTTCACCTTCACCACCTTCGCCTCCTTGATTCGCTGAGGGCGGCCAGCTGTGGGCGGCCGCCGGCGCGCCCTTGAAGTTCGGTATCCTGCCACAGCGCGGATGATGTCAGCAGCGGCGCGGCAGCCGCGCCCCGCCCGGGGAGCATGAGTCGAGGCGCCTCGAGCGACCCGACCCGACCACCTCCTGCGTCAGCGCGTCCGACAGGGGCCGCTCTGCTCGAGCTGCTTTCCTATCAGATACAGCGTCTCGTCTTTGCAAGAGTCAAACACCGTGATAATCCGCACCATACTCGCACTTGATCCGATAAAGAGCCACAATGCAATCAGGAATCACACACATTTCCTGCGAATCAAGCGTGGCTGAAATGACCTGCCTTCGGCGTCCTCTGAATTTTCATTCGGTTGGTATGTAAATTAGTTGAAGCAACGCTGGCGGACGACTTAAATTGGCTTAACCACTGCACCCTCGCAGTGCTGCAGTGGTCAAGCTCATTGCACCGGCACCCTTTACATGGAAGCAATCGTAATTATAATCACGTCAATTCCAATTCCCGTTCTTCACCATTTCGCTCGAATTGGGAAGAACCCAAAGAGTCCTGGTAATTTGCTTGAACGACCGGATAACTGAAATGTCAAGCTTGATTAGAATAACCAATCGGCTGCAAATAATTTTGAGACAGAATCGAATGGGATCCGTCAAGCCGAGCCAACCACAGGTTTGACTCGCACCATCAACTCTCCCAGTTCACGCATTATCTCAAAACCCGACACCACCGAAGCCGTGTCCGGGCGGTGACGTCACCACCACCACGTCATGGCGCGGGTGACGTCACGGCCGTCAGGTGAGCGGAACCAATGGGGCCCGGGCGGGACGGGAGCGACACCTGCTGGCGCCGCCCACCGCACGGGCCAGCGGGCTCGCCAAACACGACACCGGCCGGGCGGGCCAGCAGCTCCGGCAGCTCGTGTTCGCGCCCACACCAGCCGCGCCGCAGTCCGCTCCGCCGCTGCCGATCACAGCCTAGAGCACGGACCCGATCCGGCACGCCGATCACAGCACAGCGAGCCGTGCACAGATCAGCCCAGTGCAGCGGTAGAGATCAGCCCAGTGTAGCAGTAGAGATTAGCCCAGTGTAGCGGAGGAGATAAGCCCCGTGCAGCGGTAGAGATCGGCCCAGTGTAGTGATAGAGATCAGCCCAGTGTAGCGGTAGAGTTCGGCCCAATGTAACGGTAGAGATCAGCCCAGTGTAGTAGTAGATATCAGCCCAGTGTAGCGGTAGAAATCAGCCCAGTGCAGCGGCAGAGATCAGCCCAGTGTAGCGGTAGGGATCGGCCAGTGCAGCGGTAGAGATCAGCCCATCGTAGCGATAGAGATCAGCCCAGTGTAGGGGGCACATGACCTTCGGGAGAAGACATGGCCCACCTCCTCCATTCACCGGGCCGGAACAGCCACGCGGTCCGCCTATCACGCTAGTTCGGTGCAATGCCGCGTGCCGCATTCAGTTTCACATCAGATAGTCCCACAAGACGTAGCAGCTTGTGTTTCCCCGTCGCACTCCCAAAAGGCCCACAGCCCCTAGCCAGGGTCCCAACACTTCAGGCCCACAGTCCCTAGCCAGGGTCCCAACACTTCAGGCCCACAGCCCCTAGCCAGGGTCCAACACCTCAGACCCACAGCCCCTAGCCAGGGTCCAACACTTCAGGCCCACAGCCCCTAGCCAGGGTCCAACACTTCAGGCCCACACCCCTAGCCAGAGTCCCAATACTTGACACCAGTTGACATCAGTCGTGAAGCAGTGGTGATATGCTTGGTTGCGTACGTAGCAGCAATGTATCATCTTTTACCACGTTCATTGCCACGAGTCATGACCAGTTGGTCATGGGATACGCTGCTGCAGCTCGGCTGTCGGAGCCCTTCCTCCGCGCTGCGAATGGCTCCTCCTGCCCGGCAGAGACCCGAGGCGAGGGCCTCAGGCCGCGGAGCTGGGTCGCAGCCGGTGCCGGCAGCTCCCGAGCCTGGCAGGCCTGAGAGATCGGGCAGAGTCCCGAGGGGAGGGCCTCAGGCCGCGGAGCTGGGCCGCAGCCGGTGCCGGCAGCTCCCCGAGCCTGGAAGGCCTGAGAGATCGGGCAGAGTCCCGAGGCGAGGGCCTCAGGCCGCGGAGCTGGGTCGCAGCCGGTGCCGGCAGCTCCCCGAGCCTGGCAGGCCTGAGAGATCGGGCAGAGTCCCGAAGCGAGGCTCAGGCGCGGAGCTGGGCCGCAGCCGGTGCCGGCAGCTCCCCGAGCCTGGCAGGCCTGAGAGATCGGGCAGAGTCCCGAGGCGAGGGCCTCAGGCCGCGGAGCTGGGCCGCAGCCGGTGCCGGCAGCTCCCCGAGCCTGGCAGGCCTGAGAGATCGGGCAGAGTCCCGAGGCGAGGGCCTCAGGCCGCGGAGCTGGGCCGCAGCCGGTGCCGGCAGCTCCCCGAGCCTGGCAGGCCTGAGAGATCGGGCAGAGTCCCGAGGCGAGGCCTCAGGCCGCGGAGCTGGGCCGCAGCCGGTGCCGGCAGCTCCCCGAGCCTGGCAGGCCTGAGAGATCGGGCAGAGTCCCGAGGCGAGGCCTCAGGCCGCGGAGCTGGGCCGCAGCCGGTGCCGGCAGCTCCCCGAGCCTGGCAGGCCTGAGAGATCGGGCAGAGTCCCGAGGCGAGGGCCTCAGGCCGCTGAGCTGGGCCGCAGCCGGTACCGGCAGCTCCTCGAACCTTACAGGCCTGACAGACCGACCTCTGGCCCCGGCGCAGCCAGCGCGCCCACTGGAGCGGCCGCCGCTCACCGCTCGCCACCCCTCCCAAGGCTATCCGGGACTGGGCGGACCGTGACGAGGTGCGACACGGCATCGCAGGCGGGGGCGGACAGCAGCCAGGTCGCCTCCGCAGCCCTTTGACGCCGCATGCCAGGGATGACGTTAGCGTCTCGGAAACATGATGACGGCTCCAGATGACGTTTAGCATTCCCGTACCACACATCCAGGATGCGATTTGACATTCGGCATACGATTCAAACTACTGTACATCTGACACAAGTATACGGTCACATAAACGTGAGGCATTCAAGAGCGTGGACGTGACGGGTAGAAAAAATTTCCCGTTCAATACGCTGGAACCAGGACGGTCACTCCAGACGTGGCCAATATTCTAGAGCCATGAACGCATCTTGATGTACACTTTACTGATGTGTTTGGCGTGATTTATCGATATGCGTGTATTAAGTGTCGCACAGGCTTATGCAATGCGATAAATCGCACCTATATGCCGAACAGGATTAATTGTTTATTCCTGCAAAAGCCACGCATACAACAATAAACAGCCGAGGCGGGCCTGTTGGCACGGGCTCCACATGCGCCCCATCGACTACCGGTCTATTCATAGCCGGCATCCGGCGGCGCGCGGCCGCGTTCGTCCGGAACACGTGCGCACCTCGCGCCCCGCTGACGGCCGCGCGACGGACGGCGGCGACGACGGCAGCGCTCGTGCGACGTCCTCCACCTGCGGCCGGCGGGCAGCTGCAGGCCCGACGGCCGGTCGCACGCCGGGGCCCATCGCCGTGCCGCGCCCGACCGAACGGCCGCCACCCGCCGAACGGCACGGCGCAGCGCTGGATCTCGCCGCCGCCCACCCGACCGCGCCGGACGGGCCGAGCGCCGGCGGAACAGGACAACGCAAACGAGCTCCGAATGGCGGCTTTTTAGAAGGGAAGCGGAACACGCACCGCCGCTTTTGAGGACGTCAGCGACTGTGGCACTCTTATTCGATCCCAGGGGCCATGGCGCAACCGAGGTTCGAGCCCAGGCCCCGGCACCACCATATGTGAGGCGACGGCGACCCACTAGGTTACTACACTCACACCTGACGGGCCCAAACCGGCTGGACACAAACCCAGATATCAAAACTGTCATTGGCCAGAGACATGCGCGGTGCGCGCCATGCGTAGATCAACGCACCACGCATATGCACAATGTTTGCTCCAAACCTACTCTATCGACCCAACCTGGGCCTATGCTTCCCTCATCGGCCATACCGATGACCAATGAAGAACTGACGGGCGTGGTAACTGATACCCATTCAAACCCCAGAGGAGGTGGAGGGGGGGGGGGCGGAGGTTAAAGGTCATTGTACGAACTCCACAGAACTTATATCAAATTTCTGCAAAGTCGCCTGATATGTGGTGTAAATTTCTTAGCTCAGGCCGCAGGGAGGGGTAGGAGGAAGCACCCCTATGGATTCCTACTTTACTACGCACGGGGGTCTGCAGCGAAAATGGTCATGACCTGGATCTTGCCCATTTTGGCCTCCAGCGCGCGTTAAACGGCGAATTGGGTAGCAGTTCAAAATACATTGGCAGCGCATCAGTGAGAGCGCCAGTTTAATGTATCGCTCAATGACTGGACGTCCGCTATATCGATATACAACTGTTTCTGACACCCTGTGGCAGGACAGGCCAGCCGTACGTTGTCATCGCCTTGCCAATACGACCCTCCCAGCCGGCGGTAAGGTCACGTGGTTACGTCTGCACCCGGCACTACATGGCCCGAGGATATAAACAGGCAAAGGCATTAGGGCGGTGTTCTGGGGTGGCCGTGCCAGGTGCGGCGGGCAGCGCTGCTTCAGATATGCATGTTTGAACCGAGCGGGCATTGTGGACCTAAGCCCGGGATGATGGTTTACCAATGCAGCTAGTTGGGACGATTTTATGAAAGTAAGGAAATGCAGTGTATGCATTTTTTGATCAATATGCGTGCTTTCCAAACGTCAAAGGTAAGCCATTTAGATCAGGCAAATAGAAGTGTTATTTATATTTTTGTGACCAACACAACCCAGGCGTCAAATAAATTTGAACTATGCAACCGCAACGGTTCAATGACAGACATGATGGCACAAATTATGACCAGCATAAGATAAAAGATCAAAGCAGTCTGAACCAGCCTGGCACGATCCGACGAGTCTTGAAAATATGCCATTCGAATGCTCACATTAATTTGATTTAGCAGTTCTGTGCAGTTTTCAAAGCCAAAAATTGCATGACTCTTACACTGCTCACTGTAATATTTACCACATGTGTGCACACAAGCTGTTGGATTTTAAAAATTGTCATGTTGCAATGAAATGATTCAAACAACCATTTTCAATTAATTTGTTTCTCTACCACTATAGAAGGCAAATGGAACTTTTCATATTTTCCATTGAAGGACCACATTTCAGACCACACTGTTTCTCCCTTAATCTGGATTTCTTCACGGAATTCCACCTTTCAATCTAAATGCATGTGACTCATTGCATGATTTATTTACATGGGTCATTTCATGTCAAAGCATGGATGCTGCCACAACCAAGCAAGGGAAATCATTTTTACTGTGACTTGCTGGCAGAAAATAATTTGTCATCACCACTGTTGGTATGTGCATCAAATTAACATACAAATATAATTGATATCGTGAGGCCATGTCTAGTCAAAACACCTTGCAGTGTCAATTGTTGCCAAAATACTTATCAGAAAACCAGAGATGACTTCTCCTCCCATCGGTCAGAATCGGGCAATCAGCATCAAACTGGACGGCAGTCAAGTCACTATCCAGGCAGCTCCAAACGTCAGTTTGAAAGCAAAGGGCAACAGACTAATGGTCAATAAAATGTATGCATGGAGGCGGGCAAACAGCCTGAAGTCTGGTAGCATGGATTTACATTAACACCCTGACAATCCTAGTAGGCAAATTTTGGAGCACTCCTCACAATGCTATGTAATGGCATGAACCTGTAAGCCCACCACCAGCAACAATTCTAAAACTGGCCTCCTTGAAAGGAAAAGAACATGTTTCCACACACTCAAACAAGTATGCTGGCAAATCACTAGAGAACACACACTGAATTTCATGCAGGGGATAGCACATGCCACATAACAAAAGTTATGCATGCATCAATATTACCTCTGGCTACTTTCTCACACAAAACCAGTTAGCAAATGTCATCACACAGTGAAAATTGTCATTGACACAAACCTTGCTGAACACTCACCTATTGTGAACAGGTCTTGGAAATTCAGCCAGGTCATTATGTTCTAAGTGGTCCCAAACCTTGCGCCGAAAGTCATTCTTAGTCACCAAGGCCCCTGAGGCCATCACTGAAAAAAACAAAACAAACTGTGTTACAGGATACAGTTGGAATAATATTCCCCAAAAGCAAGCATACAATTCTGAGTATGTCAGGCTAATTTTTAACCCCCAAACAGCTGCACCTACAACACTTTTCCTGCCTATATGCTGCAGCAATGCTACAGACTGGTATACTGTAATTCCTATAAACACATAACTACTACAAATATGCAACAAACAACAAAATTGCTACATGCAAATCATCTTGACACATGATGCTTACACAACAAGATCAAACAAAATAATAGCATCCACTGACATGGGTTATGTTTGAGGCAATTCATATGACTCATTTTGTTTTATTACCCATCATTGTACAGACAGCAAGCTCTGAGACAATTACGCACACTTGGACATATTTTTAGCTAATGATAATACATTGACATCTGAATGGTAAAACACAATGAAATTCACTCAAGAAATAACTTTCCTGTTTTGACTTTGCCACTTAGACATCCTAAACTCTTCAAACTGATTTGTTGTTACCTGTCTGCAATGCCAAAAAATATCCCACCCCATTTAGCATCGTTCCCAGAGCATAACCTTTCCTTCATCACGCTGTGGTGTAAAGGTGAACTATGGGCAAAATCAAAATGAACAAACACCTCCTAAAACTAGCCTTCTTCAGATGATTATAACAAACAAGATTTGAGGCACTTGATGTGAAGAAAACAAAACTTTTGATACCTGAGAGTGCCTGAAATGTAAAGATTTGGTTTTAACAAGACATACAATGGGAGGCAATCCCCCTGATGAAAGTGCCACAAAAGTAGAAGCACTGCATCAGCCATTAGGATTAAATGATTTATTCAACACCCAACCATTTAGCATTGATTTTCTGCAATTGATTGCTGTGGGGGTCAACAAGCTCTTTCCTGAGAATCAGGCTAAAAAACCAGACATTTCAGCTCATCTTATGGTTGTAAGGCAAATACCCTCCAAACTGAGCTAGAATGCCCTCTTGGCAGCACATGCCCTACTTCCTATTTGATGTCAAACAGAAAGGCCTTCCATCCTGCTATTTTGACATTATGAGTTCACAGTTCTTACAATGAGTTCTTAACATTTAATCTACCATGAGGTACCAGTCAAAGAACATTATGATGCTAAATAAGAATTAAGCTGAATGCCATCATTCTAAATACCATTTAGCATTACATGATATAACCAGCACCCCCAGGTATATTGAAGGTTCTTAGCCTGAGATAAGAAATTCAATCATATTTCCTACTCCTGACTCATTCTATGTTTTAAACCTCTGGGCCTAGGTTTTGAATTCATGCTTTGCCTGGTGAGATAACAGCCTGTGGTGTCACACAGATAACCTGCATTATATGTGGTGTGAAAGAACATCTCTACATCCAGAGATGGGCAAGATGCAGAATCTGCTGATCCATCATATGGACACATGCAGCTCACAGAAGTCATGCACTTAAATATTATATTTTTACATTTTTGCTCAGCATCTGATAAGTTACATGGTAAAAACATCATTGTTGATCACATTATCCACAAAACTATCCACTTGCCAGACATAAAAAGCCATCAGCAGCATGTTGACCATTGCTGCATAAATGCCCAGAATTACCATGCTTAACATAGTTACCATACCATTTCTACATATCTCTTAGCCATGTAAAGAAATGGTTGAATGGGTAACATCACAAGTGAGTCAGGTAGTGATGTCATGTGTCAAAAGGGCTCACTATACATAATAAACAAGGAGTAAATTGACTTCTACTTGCCAATAAAAAGGCATTGATATGATTTGCATAGTCTAGAATGGATGAGACATATCTTGTTCTCAACAATGCATTAGCATGCAGTGATCCCAATCCAGGCCAATGGCAAGATCAAGTATTGCTGATACCTTCATACAACTGAAAGGCTCTATGACATTCATTGCACACACCATGAAGTTGTCATAAATTGGGTGGCTTCAGCATGAGTTATAACACACAACATTTATATCACTGGATAATAACTATGCTACTTACAAAGTGAATGTTGTAGTGATTAACCAGCATGCAGCATGGGGAAAAATACACACTGTCATGCTCCCAAGATTAAGCCTGCCCACCAGTTTCCAGAATTGCAACTTTCCCACAACAGACACAATAGCTTGTGTTCAAACATCCAGCCATTCAAATCAAAACACTCCTAGAATCTGGAAAATAGCCCCCTTTGCATGGCCAGGTTGCAAAAGACCTGTTACTTTGGATGTATCACCAAAGCAGCCACAGCACAGAAACAATTTTAGTATACAAGATGCCATTAACCTGAGTAGCCAGCATTCTGTGCATGGTTCCTGGGAACTAAATTGCAAAGAAACCCACTGATCAGACCTTCTGTTGCTAAGGTTTATACATGCTAAGATAACCTAAGCAAATCCTGTTGTTTGTGGAACTATTTGTAGCATGCTAACAAAAAGCTACATCCAAACACTTGGACAACAAATAAATACAGGCTTATACAATCTCCAATTAACTCTGAAGAATGAGAGCACCAACATTCAACAAATACGATTAGCAGTATGCAGATTGCCCCTGCCAACATTTCGATGGAATTCCGAAGGGAGGCAAATACCTAATATGTCTTGAAGCTCAGAATCTTGACCACACGACACTAGTCGCACGCTGTCAGATAGGATATATCTGTAAAATTATTGTCTGATGGCACACAGGTCAACAGCACTTCCGCGGTACTCCGGTGCTCAATCAACGCCGCAGCGATCTAAGGCAGGGCATTTACTTTGTTTGCGCTATAATTGTCGGAAAGCATGCGTCCTAATGCTGGACAAAACTTAGGCGTACACTTTCTGGCAGCTATCATATTTCTTTCATTTCAGTTATTATTCAATAATATTTGATCATTAATAAAATATCTATGGCTGCTGTCAGATACAAACTGTATTCCAAGGTGTGATAAATGTATTTTGATTTGTCTAAATAACACATTAAGCAATATGTTAGACATGCCGCGATCAAGTAGTGTAGTGTGAGCCGAACCAACGTTAAAAAGTTATAAAACTGGAATTAGATATAAAAACTTGAAAAAATCTCGAGCAGTTACTTATTCAATATTTTACACGAAATTACACCTCATTGAAGTTCCAAATATGTTCATACGTATTTTGTCCTTTACTAGTTATGCCGGTTGCTGCAAATCCTGGCGCACTTGCACTATGAAGACTTCAGTTAAACGCGATACTGATGTTCAGCTAGGTGCGCGACTGCTGATTGGCTGCGGGTGCCGGCCGAAGTATCAACTAGCTGAGGAAGAGCGAGGCGCCTGCAAGGTAGATGGGCTTGCCATGTTATAGCCAAGTCTGATTGATAGGTGATGCCAAGAACCTGAAATTACATGTGCTCACAGAATACGTATTTCAGGAAAACACATTCTGTAATTCCATTGGAAATGTGGTAATAATGTTGGTGTGTACTGTTGGTTTTTGCATGCGATACTGTGTTACCTTACATTGTTACAACCAAAAAAATGCAGCAGATACAAATGATAACAGTTAGTAATGCCAATGCCAATCTGAGTCCTGGCTGCATGCTTTGCCATGTAGGTATTGGGAATTGTGCTCTCACCCATGTAATAACGTTGCAATTTGACAAGACTTTTGTGCCAATGATTTGGTTGACCAGTTTTTTTCAGATTATTTGATCTCACACAGGCCTGACTGTTCGTGGAGCCAGGACATTATCTGCTGACTCATCATCAAGGTTACAACATGAGTGGAGGAGTTTATGGAGGAGGTTTGTACATGCAACTACACATAGACTATCCATACACCATGCCACTCATAACCACTCATTTTTTAGTCCCTCTGCTCCTAATGTTGCCCTGGTTATGCTGGGCAAGAATCTCATCTCTCCCTGGTTGCATTGTTAAAACATCAAATATTTTAGCATGGCTACAAACCAAACCTGTGCATAACATTAGACTGTTCAAAATTTATCTTCCCTTGCTACACTTTGGATATGCTCCATAAATAACATAACATGTGCATGGCCCCTATGCAACATCACATATTATCCTCTGCTGAGACTGGGCAAGCAAAATGGGCAAGACCGACGCAAGAATGCTGAGCAAAATGACCCCAGTAATCAGCACATCCTGAAACCCTAATTATCATCATCATCCTATGCCAGGGTCCAAATCAGATCAGGAATGCTGCCATGAGAGAAGGTAATGCCAGCTCTGGACATCAAAGGGGAAATTTCAAAGGCTTGCTATGTAGGTGGCAATCTGTGGCACCACAGATATGCCTGAATAATAATGGTCTTTAATTCCATTTATGGACATTGGAGGAATCAGCTGATTCAACACCAAGTGGACATTTGGCTTGCAGGAATAGTGCACTTGAATGGTGCACTTGGTGTACATGAATATTGTCTTATGAATAGTTGTTCACAAGCTGTGTGGCTAAATACATAATCATCAATCACACCATCCACAATAAGTCCAGACCTGCCTATTTCCTCAACATACAGAACATCCATGGTTGCAGGCATTGGTATGCCAACACAACTGCCCTGTAAACAAAAGACTTATTTGACTGCCGCCTGAGAAGGAAATATGCTTGGGCAAAGATGTCGTAGATAAGGAATGGGTTTACCCCAAGGCAGGTAATGGGCTTCCTTTTGCCAATGCAGAATGGATATCAAAAGGATCTGGCAGTATAATGAGAAGTTTCTCCTTTGCAGATGAAAAGGACACAAATGCAGGATGCTGCAGTCAATACCATTGTCTCCAACTTGGAAGTCCTGCTGCCCTGAGAACATGCAGATTGAACACAGAAGTACTGGTATCATCACCAGCCATCAGTATCCACATTCACTGGGTGTAACTATCCACCCCCAGTGCCAACATTAACATCCATTTTCTGTCCTGCAGATGAGGTGGGGGCACTGGTGTTTGACCTGGGTCACTACTCGCTGCGCGCGGGGTACGCCGGTGAGGAGGCGCCCAAGTCGGAAATCCCGGCCACAGTTGGTGTGCTAGATGAAGCGGCAACTGGTGCAGCACTCGATGTCGCCATGGAGGTGGACGGCGCAGGCGGCAAGGATGCCGCCGCCCACCGCAAGTACTACATCGACACCAACGCGCTGCACGTGCCCAAAAAAGGTCAGCTGGCAGTGACTAACAGTGTGTAGAGTTTGTTGGCTGTATGCAGCCATTTGTCTCATTTTGTGGCCACCAGATGTCTTGTAGCTGAAGAGTGGGCCGATTATTAGCAGAAAAAGTGAGAGGGTCTGGAACACCTCCCAGGAAATTGTTTGCTCAGCATTTCTGTGGTTATTTTTGGCATACAATTACATCACCTGAATGTATACATTCACCAAATATCATAAAGACCCTGACACTTTTTACATCAATCTAACGTTTTTGGGACACATGCCTGACCAGAGAAGTGATGTCGTCACAGATGACGGTATTCTGAAGTGAATTCGCAGTCATGGCTGTGAGTGTCGGCCGTTTGTTTCAGACGTGGAGGCGGTGAGCTATATGAAGGATGGCATGATCGACGACTGGGACCTGTTCGAGAAGGTCCTCAGCTACACCTACTCACAGTGCATCAAGTCTGACTCGAGCTGCACCCGGTGCTCATGTCTGAGGCGCCCGTGAGTAGCCGCTGTCTGCGTGGGGCGTCCGCCGCGCGGCCACGCCCGCGGCGGCCACTGCCGACATGGCCAACCCGCTCTGGTGGCGCTGCCCGCTGTCCAGCCAGGTGCGGCCACTAGGGCAGCGCCATGGCCGGGCTTTTGCTTTGCGCCTGCTTTTGGAGGCACATTCCGCTCAGCTGTTAATGCTGGTGCTCAACCCGTGTTATAGTACTCAAGCTGGGTGGGTGGGACAAGGAGGTGCTGGAGGCGAAGCTTGAATGTCCTGGTGATTTGCTGTGCGGGTAGTAATGACTTCAGTTGAGCTCTTGTGTGACGATGCAGGGCCTTGAGATGAAAGCTGCGCGAAGGCGGCGGGGTAAACCAGTCTGCTATGAGGTCAGCTCCTTCAGCATGTCATGGTCGGCCATTCGTGGGATCACCATAACCTACACCTAACCCTTCCAATGATCGGAGACTCCGCTATCGACACTGCAAGCCCAGACACTGTTTCCGTACAACTGACATACGTGCACCCCCTGAAGCGTAGCCGCCGTAACGGAAACGCCTTCCCCGACAGCGGGACCACTGTAACAGACGCTTGGCCATTCCCGACAGTTGGACCACTGTCTGACACCCGTACATCACCGACAATGGAACCACTGTAGCCGACACCGGCTCAAATCCGACATTGGGGTACTAGCCGACACCCGCCCATCCCCAATAGTGGGACCGCTGCAACCAATGCCCTCATCCTCGGCACCGTAACCATGGTAACCGCTCGTCACTCACGCCGACAGTGGAACCACCGGGGGCGGCGCGAGAAGCTGACCGAGCTAATGTTCGAGAAGTACAACGTGCCGGCCTTCTTCCTGGTCAAGAACGCCGTGCTGGCGGCCTTCGCCAACGGCCGCTCGACCGCGCTGGTGCTGGACAGCGGTGCAACGCACACCTCGGCGGTGCCCGTCCACGACGGCTACGTGCTCACGCAAGGCATCGTCAAGAGCCCGCTCGGCGGTGACTTCATCACGGCCCAGTGCCGCCAGTTCTTCAGCCAGAACGAGGTGGAGGTGGTGCCGCCGTACATGATCGCGTCCAAGGAGCCCGTCAAGGACTACGAGAAGGCCAAGTGGACGCGGCGGGCTAACCTGCCCGAGGTCACCAAGTCGTGGCACGACTACATGGTCAACGTAGGTGGTGCGGGCAGCGCCGGTCGGTGGTATCAATACAGTTTGGCTTTTCGTTGGGCTTGTGATGTGTGGTTCAGTGACTCCTGAAATGTTTCTGATGGCTTTTGGTTTCATTTCTGAGCCACTTTATTTTGGACTTCTGTATTGAATTTGTGTGTGGTTTGTTGCGTCATGTTCATTGTGTCGTATTGGAGGACTAGTGTAAGAACCCTTTGTCTATCATTTCCAGGAGGTTGTCCAAGACTTTCAGGCGACCATTCTGCAGTGTGTCGACGACTACAGCGAGGAAGCTATCTCTCAGATGCCCGCCGTCCCTTACGAATTCCCGAACGGCTACCACCAGGTACATGTGACAGTGTTGTGAGGCGCCACGCGCCATGCGGCGGGCGGTTCGCGAGCGTATCTGCGAGTCGAGAGGTGGTCAGAATGTGGACGGGGAGGGTGTGCTTAGTTTCGTGCCTGGTGATGATCGCAGTGCATTGTTTGCCTGTATTTCCTGCTGCCCCTGCCCGTTTATGATGTGGTGATCTGCACGTCATTCTGGCTGCGCTGCGGTCGGCTAACACGGCACGCTCTGTTTAACATTCCAAGTTTTTGAGCAGTTACTGGGCACTTTAGTGGTCAGCAAACGTCTCTTGGTTGGGCATTGGCTAATTGCACAGAAAGTAAAGTTGTGCCATCTTCTTACTTACACCAGTCCTTTTGCCGAGCATTTACGTTCCGCGGCGCAGTGTTTTGGCTTCGCCATGAACACAATTAAAGGCTGCTTCCATTGTCATGTGCAGGCTCACCGCTGACTTATGTCGGCCCGCTTCTGACTCCTGCTTACCCCGCCTGATGCGATCGGCGTCCTTCTGACCTCCACCGGCCCTCTCCGCACCCGCTGTCGCCGCGCTGCTGCCCTCAGTAGCCTCTCCTGAGTTATGCTGGCCCACTCCTG